TATTTCTCTAACTTATTTTTTTTGAAGTTCATTTGTCATGCATATTTGATTTTTTTTATCTATATGTACATACTTTTATTATCCTTTTGTACAACGCCATTGAATATGTATATAGAAATAGGCGTTTAATTAAATAAACAGTTTCAAGTTTCAGTTGACTTTGAACATAATCTGATTTTGTTAAAACGTATTCTAGTACAGGATATTCAAGAATTGCAAAATTGGTTAAGATATAATGTAACAACGTAACAACGTTAATACTGATAATGAGCATTATAATATGAAAAGACTAAAGTTGGTGAACTAACATATTAAGAGAATGTTTCCCATATACAATGACACGCAGCACTATTTGTTGATATGAACGATAAGGTATGTGTGCCTTCAAACGATACACGGTAATACTCGTACGAATATCTTCTGCATTCAGCAAATAGTACTATGATAATAAGATACATGGAAGTCACTTTTGGCAACACGAAAAAAGAGAACTGTACAGTAAGCCTGTGCCTTTTTCTCTAAAGGACTATGTTGGGTTGTAGAAAACCAAATTTTTTCATCAAGTGTATAACCACGAAACAATTCAAAGTTTTCTATCGATAATTCCGTTGTATAACCAAAATCTTGTGAATTTGTCCCATTTTAAAGTTGAAATAAATATTCAGTGTATCCTAGCATCTCTGTATACCTCCATGGGAGGTATTTTGAGTCATAAGATGAATTTAGCCTTTTATTATTAAATATATGTAAGCTGACGTAGGTTAAGGTCTTTTTATGCATTGTACTGAATCAATAGTCACTCTAAAATCTTTGTATACACGGTATTTGTGCTGTCAATAGCTGTTACCTAGACTTGCAACATTTTCAATTTTGTCTTGTTGGACTTTCTTTAGGGATTCTTCATTTCTCTCTATTTTGCTCTCTATCTGATCAAAAGGAGAGAACTATGTTTATGTACATGAAATACTACACATAATATTTATTAAGTTTTGGAAGTGATGGCTTTCTAACAGATAAAATAAACAAGGTATACATAAATTGATAATCAACATACATACCTTTGGACTCATTTAAATATTATTATTGAAAAACAAAATGGGAAAAATGGGAAAATATATCTACACACTATGGTTAAAATAAAAAGTTAAGTACGAAAGGGTATACGTTGGTTATTACTTTACTATTGTTAAAAGTTTTTTCTTGTCAAGTCATACGCTAGAATAAAGGTTGCTAATGTAATAGTAATTGCTACTACTAGGAAAGACAGAAGCCAGAATTTGGTCTGTATTAGTAAGTAGTCGTATCAAAATCTCTATCAGAGGTTGACTTGAAAATTTGAAAGTGGTAAGGTAGCAGCTTAACTGTAAATGTTACTCATTCCTATGCAAATTGAAATGCCCCCAGTTAAATTTATTTGTCGTTGAATATAGTTCTATCAATAGTTTTTATTCCTTGAAAATATTAAACCTCAGACAGTAAGTAGCCTGGTGAGTGTTTTATTATTTTTAAGTTTCACTTTCTAGATAATGTGGTATCTACAACATTTTAAAACTTCTATGCCTATAATCCTTCAAAGTCCGCTGCTGTTGATTGTATAAAGGCATAGAATGGCAATCATGCAAGTGAATTATTTTTGGTGAATAACTAAACACCTAAAAGGTGTGGTAAACGGAAACTACGCCGCTTCTTGTCGCCGACGGTAAATACCGAAAATGAGCGGATAAATACGTTTCTTTACGATGATGTAGTGGGTTGGAAAATGGGCGGAGCTTATTCTATCTCCTTTTGAAAAGCGTGTAAAGCTGGATTATGCTGATCCGAATCATTATGGTTCGACAATGTAAAACTAAGAATGTAACTTCTGTTTTGTTGGCGTATACACGAACAATGAGTATTCGAACACTTGGTATTAATTGCTACTAACAAAATGTATTATGTTGAAATGCATGTTTACAATGTTAAATCGGCAAACTCAATCCAGGAATGCAACATTGGAGTTTACATACAAAGAAATACAATTGTATTTTGTCCGTTAACAAACTGTTCAACTCAGATCAACAAGGCTGCATTTTGGCAACGAATAGCCTCCATAGGGGCGTACCTCGGCTTATTAGGAGTGTACGCCGAGTGCAGGTTTTTGGCAGAAGGATCGCTAATATATATCAAATATAGCTATATGCTATAATTAAGTCACGATTAAGGGAATATTTATTATATATTAAGTAAATTGTACTACTATTATCTGTATCTATAGTTATGAAAATAACATCAAGTACATATATTGAATGTGAGAGAAAAAGCACGAAATCTAACGTGTACACTGTTTTAAATAGTTCATAAGTTATTTGGTTTTAGAAAAACAAAACATAGCCAGGTGTCTCTCTTGTAAAAAGATGGGTTTTATTTCCTTTTGTAACAAGTTTAGTTTTTTCTTTGTTATTTTTCTTTTGTTTCACAATAAGTTAACGTGAGATATAATCAAGGAAAATATGCTTTAAAAATGATCTGTATGACTTTAATACACACACAACACCTTAAATGTTTAGTGTAGCGAAACGTTATCGTATTCACAGCCAAAATGAAGTATCGCACGATCATTTAGTTTCGTTAAAATATTTTTAATGCGTATAATGTTAATGTTGTAGACAATAAATATTGTCTTTAACATTTTTGTTTTCAACTCTAGTCATTCAATGTCCATTCGAAATATTTAAGTTATATCATTACAAAGTTAAATTCCTCACGCACATAAATCATGTTGGTATAAACAGACTCGCCAATTTGTTATCTAAAGTCGGCGAAAATAAAAGAATTTAGACATGATATGTCTTATATGGTTAAACATTGTTCTCGTTGTGCATTTGTCTATGTTTTAAAAATGTATAGATCAGACTATGTATAAAAAAATATAGTGTAGTGATATATTTTGTAAACTGGTATTTTTTACGGTCAAGTAAACTTAAGTTGAATTTGGTTTGTGACAATGGATGTTGGCAATGGTTTACTGCAAAGATCTGATTCACAGTGTCAAAACTATTCTACATAATTTGAAATGAATATAAGTTGAATGAATATTACTTACTTATTCGAATAAGGTAACATCCTAAGAAAACCTGTAGAATCAATTAGCAGCTAAGAATATGTTGATGATCTACGCCCAAATTAATGATTTTATTTTTGAAATTTTATTTAAAAAAAAACAACTTGTTTCTTTTTATACGTCCGTGCGTATTGGCGAATCGGTAGGTACGCCACTGTATAGGTGTCATATTCACTTTCGAGGTGAGATTCATAAAAAGAGGCTGAATCGAGAAAATAGTTATTTTATTTAGTTCGAAAGTAAACCACGTGGCCATATTTTATTCTGTTTTTATAATCACTTGGTACACTTGCACTAACAGTATGAAAAACTCCCAGTTGCCTTTGTGGAAGTAACACCACAAACATGTGAGGGTTAATAAAATAAAATGTTGTATCCCTAAACTTTGTTTTAACTCTTAATATTTTGATCGTTAATATATAAAATTAACTTAATTAAGGGTATAATTAGCATGCTTCTACGCTTCTCATATGTCGTTTGATATACGTACATGTATAGGCTTAACCAAATTACATTTCCTTTAATTTGAAACCTAAATATGTTTAAAGTTAGTAATATCAGGAACATTTCTATCCTTTCACAAGTTTTGTTCATTTACTTATTTGTAAGTTTAAGGATTCTCTTTGACTCTTGAGGCTGTAGACTAAATATGTGGAATATTATAATAATAATAAGTTTTAATTTTCATTCACACAGTATTTTGCTCATTTTTAGCGTTAACGGTACTCTCTCTCTCACACAAACGCATGCACACGCGCAAGCGCCAACGCGCTCGCACATACACACACGCACACACACACGCACATACACACATACACACACAAACAAAGAGCTTCAACATGGGTAATTAGTTATATTGTACAAGACATACAAAATCATATTTTAGAAATACCTTAAACCATATAAAAGTACCGATTGGCCTAATACACTTGTTTTTTTCCTTCTTCGACAAATTATAAACGTGTGTATCGACACGTTATCGTCTTAACCTGTCAGATTTGATTACATACACACCTGTATATTACAGAATGCCGTTAGGGCCATCGCCTATGAATGTGTTGATCTAAAACGCGATAGTCGATAGTACGATGGTGAAAACGCGAAATCACGAAACTACGATGGTGAAAACGCGAAAGCACGATGATGAAAACGCGATAGTACGATGATGAAATCGCGACAGTACGATACTACGATGATGAAAGCGCGATAAACTATCGTGTTTTCACCATCGTACTGTCGCGTTTTCACCATCGTAGTTTCGTGATTTCGCGTTTTCATCATCGTACTGTCGAGTATCGCGTTTCAGATCAAACCATTCATAGGCGATGGCCCTAACGGCATTCCGGAATGCCGTTAGGGCCATCGCCTATGAATGTGTAAATCTGAAACGCGATAGTCGATAGTACGATGGTGAAAACACGAAATCCCGAAACTACAATGGTGAAAACGCGATAGTACGATGATGAAAACGCGATAGTACGATGATGAAATCACGACAGTACGATGGTGAAAACGCGATAGTACGATGATGAAAACACGACAGTACGATGATGAAAACGCGATAGTACGATGGTGAAAACGCGATAGTACGATGGTGAAAACGCGATAGTACGATGATGAAAACACGACAGTACGATGATGAAAACGCGAAATCACGAAATTACGATGGTGAAAACGCGACAGTACGATGGTGAAAACACGATAGTTTATCGCGCTTTCATCATCGTAGTATCGTACTGTCGCGTTTTCATCATCGTACTTTCGCGTTTTCATCATTGTGCTTTCGCATTTTCACCATCGTAGTTTCGTGATTTCGCGTTTTCACCATCGTACTATCGACTATCGCGTTTCAGATCAACACATTCATAGGCAATGGCCCTAACGGCATTCCGTAGTATATGGTTAGTGGACCAGTGTATAATTATTAAAATGGCGACCGGCGGTAAGAGTGTGTTTAACTACTCGGTGATAGAAACCTCGGATATGATATATGATTTTTCTTGCTCTCCTTGCACAGAAAATGGAAACAATTCAGAGGCATTATACAGATGTGTTGAGTGTAAAATCTTCCTCTGTACAAAATGTCGCGATGGACACAAACAGTTTGTCATTGGCCATAAGATAGTTGATGTACGCGCGAAAGATATCGGAGGAGGTTTGATTCATTTGAAAGGTTATACGTGCGATGAACATCCAGACAAGCTGATTGATATGTACTGCAAGACGCATGATGAAGTCTACTGTTCAGTTTGTATATTGCAACACAGGTAACTATCAAAGTGCAATGTATTATTACTTGTCATGCCTGACCAAATCTAAAGATGATCGTATTATGACGCATTTTATATTAACCTTTTTTCAGCTATGGTATTGTATATTTGTATTTGAAATATGTATTTAAATTTGATTCGTTTATATGCGATGTTCCAGACATTGAGCATAAATTATATTCAATTTTATTTTATTTTATTGTTTCTTTTATCATTTAAGGTCATGTACAGGAGTAGACTACATTCCAGATATTGCTAAAAAACTTCTGGAGAATCAAGACAAGGAAAGTGTTGAAATAGAATTAAAACAACAATGTGTCGAGCTGCAAAAACTAAAGCACAGCCGACTTAAATATTTGAGCAAATTGTCAGAAGACAAAGATAAAAATACCCAAGACATAAAGGGTTTTAAAGAAAAGATGATTCAAAATGCTGAAGAAATGGAAAAAATGTTACTTCTAGAAGTTGAAAAGAGATTCAAGAAAATGACAGATGACGTAAAGCTTGATATGGAGAAGATTGATCAACTGATTGATGATATCAAGAAATATCTATCTAAGATTGTTGCAGACAAGTATGATGATGACAAGGATGAAGTTGTTACGTTTAGATTGTCTGAACGTCAGATTATTGCAGCTAATAAACAAATATTAGACCTGGCGTGGATAAAAGAACGAATGGTACATTTTCATCCCAGTACTACGTTAGAGAATTGCTTAGACCAAAAATGTTTTGGGAATTTTAAAAGTAAGTTATCCATCATTGTTTGAGAAATAAATTAATTCAACAGTTTTTTAACTTGATCACCTCTCATGAAATCAAAATGTGTATTTGAGAAAAGTGTTTTCAGATATTTATATAGGTTACAATTATTTACTTGTTGTCGTGTTGTGGGATGCGTTCACTGAATGCCTCCCTTGTATCATTTTGCTAGAATGATTGAATCAATTTCAGTACTTACAATGTATGACAGTCACCTAACTGTATTTGATTTATTTCAGTTTCTAGACGAAACACTGATGCTGTTAACATTTACAATTTGGATACAAACCTTTCAGAGTGCATCAATTTAGAAGCTCAACTCACTAGTTATAGGATACTATCAAAACATATTGAGAAACTTGGAGAAGTCGATGCTGAAGTTCTTACTGTTATTGTAGTCTCAAAATATCGGAGTTTCTTTCGGTTAAAAGATGAGTTAAAAAAAGGTAATGTAAAATTTAGTAAGCTAAATTAAGTGATATACAAATGTACATAACTGGCAGATTATAAAATCGATAAGGAACAATATGACAGTAAGCTCGAACATAGGATTATAAAAGTCCCAGACCGCGTTGGCCACAAGGAACATAGAAATCAATTTTATCACGTGGTGAAAAAACATGTATATAATAATAAGCAGAAATATGGCTTTTCCCTTTTTATTCCCGTTTTCAACCCTTGCAGAACGCCTTTTACTTTTAATTTACCATATAGTCACGTATTGTTTGTTGTGTTTGCATTCTGAACGGCAAAACTTTCCCTTTCCTGGATGAAATTAAGGATATCGAAGCATTTAATCATTCGATACGTAACAAGTAATCGTTATCTCAAGATACACTTACTTTTACTTTACATGCACATTTTTTTCTTATGTCATGTCATTTATATTACAACAACTGAAAGTTCGTTGAGCTCAAATAAGGAAAATAAAACCAATCACTGACAAGAGGAGAATACCAAATTATGGATCGTATGCGTAAAGTTCTTTAAAAGAACACACAATTGTTTTATCATAAACAATCAATATCAGTTTCATCAATTTTTCAAATCGTAAGCATGTCTCACGACTAATCACACAATTGAATATATGAGCACATTATCTAAAAATATGAAGTGATGTATGTCTTGCATATTTATATATTCAAACATAGTACTAAGTTAACGTTCTTTCGGAATAATTTGGATGTGTTATGCCTTTTTTTATTAAATTCGTTGTAACGCGACACTACATATAGAATGACATAGACTTTATGCTTATTGTAAGGAAAGTAATGATGCGACATGCACGAGAGCATGCTGTGCATGTTATTGTACTAGTAGCGAAATATAGTTTATTGTGTAAGAAAAATCAAAGGATTTACTTTTTTAGCATAACAGTTGTGACTGTCGGATGATTTAAGCACGGTAATATATATGAGCTTTTCGTATATCAAATTGAACAAGGGCAACATTGAAGCAAAATACGCCTGTCATAAAAGCTTTTGACAGAGATGTGACCATTATAGATATTCATAAAGGAGATATGCTCTGGGCAATATCCGGACAATATCTGGATAGTTTATTATCTCTAGTGACTTTGACCTTGCAAATATTAATTTAAATTACATGTGCTACACTTATTCATCATAGTCATGATAATTATCATTAATCCATCAAAAAAATAATTACTTTTATCTTAATTTTGACCTTCCTATGTGATCTTTACTTTGGTAGCAAGGACCTCGATTATGCGCGCAATACTTAGCCTCTAAATTGTGAAGATTCTTTGTGCCAAGTTACATTAAAATACCCTGATGAATGTAGAAGACTTGCTCCGAACAAGTATGACATCTAAATGTGACCTTAACCTTTATCCTAGAGACCTACTTTGTGTACGTGACACTGCTTCAAAAGTGGTAAATAGTTTTGTTTCTACGTATTTTCCGAAACGCACGTTTTTAATATTCCAGGTCAAAGACACAAAGTTTTTGTTTTGTGTTTGGTGGCATCTTTCGGTAGGCAATTAGCAAATTCATATTTCAACGTATTTATGAATACATCTGCAGACGATTTATTATCCTGTTATACAGAAGATATGTGTAAAAGATTTTGTACAGAGAATAACATACCTTACATATGTATTTGTTTTCGCAATCGGGATGTTTTGAAAGCAGTTCAATTGATAAAAGAAGTTATAGACGAAAAATGACAATATTAGTAGAATGTAAAATATTGCACTTTAAACAAACGTTTAGAATAAGCTATTGTGTTTGAGACTTGTTACGCAAATGTGTCATATAGATGTTTTAAATGGTTAAAAGTCCATTATCAGATAACGTTTACATTAGTAGGACTTTTATTGCTTATGCAGATGATTACTTAGATCTACCTGAAAACTGTTTATGCAATGTTTATAGGTATTGAGATTTATAGATGGAAGCCATTTAACTAAAAATAGTAACATTTATTGAGGATTCGTATATGATTTATCTATTAAGGCAATGTATTGTTGATTGTTCTTAAGTTTAGTTGTAGCCCAATGCTTATGATTTAGTTTGAAGAGAATAATAATCGTGTTTGACCTGTAAATACTACTTCATTATATAAAAACATAAATCTTAACAATTGCAATGTATAATTAACACTTTTTCAAAAGGCATTTAAAACTTTATTTAAATAAAGTCAGTGTTTTTTTTATAAATAATAAGTCAGTGAATTATCGGTGTTTAAAAATTGGTACTCTAAATGTTTGTGGCATAAAGAGTAGAGTAAATTATCCAGAATTTTTGTTGATCTTGTAAAACAATTAGAAATATTTTGGTGTTGAGTGCAAAATAGACCAGTATGATGTTATATTTATAGATGATTACCAGTTCTTTAAACAACCTAGAAAACAAGCTTTTATACTAAAGACGGCTGGTCTGTGTATTTTTGTAAAGACAGGTCTACATTATCAAATAGAAATTATTGATTCTAGCTCCGATTATATTATGTGGTTAAAAATTATGAATTGTACACATGTTATTATTGGTGTGATGTATATTCCACCAGAATCTTGAAAATGTTTGAATCAAGATGAATTGTTAATTTTTGAAAAGGAAATTATTGATATGTGTATTGTAAACTAATATGTGCCTTTAACCGGTGATGCTAATGCCCATATTGCTGAATTTAAAGATTTTACGGAATCTGATGATTTTTTAACAAACCTTTTTGATTTTGATAATGACTTCGTAATTTCTTTGTATCAAATAGACATTTTAAGCCAGTTATGTTTGAGCATTCTAAGGACATCTTAAGATCATAAGATTAATAGTATAGGTCGGTCTTTAATTAATAGTTGTAAAATTAATAATCTTTTTGTAGTAAATGGTTGTTTTAGCCACGATCAAGACATTGTAGATTTATTTTACTTCCAAAAACATGTCGGTAATCGACTATACCATTTCGTCTGCAAATATGCTGAAATATTTAAGCGATTTCGAAATTAATGACTTAGATTGAATTTTCTCAGATTGACACTCTTTATTGTCATTAGACATTAGTTTTGTTCAAAGTGATATCAATGGTGTCAACAGTCCGACTGCTAATAGCAACACGATTAAATGGCAACTTAGCCGAAAAAAAAACTTTTTTTTTTTCAAAAAAAATAATTTGAATAAGGTAGCGAACGTAGAGTACCTTTTAAATAATTTTTCCCAAATTTATCGCTGAATCATATTGTAGAGAAATTACTCACATTTATAACGAATATGCAAAAGCTATTTTTACAAAGTCTTATTCGCACGTTAAGACAATAAGGAACACATGTAGGTCAAAAATTAAAAGTAACTCCTGGTACGGGCCCCATTGCCACAACAAGCGAGCTATATATTACTGCGCACGGAAAAAAGTATAACATGAATAAATCTAAAAATAATCGTTGTCTTCTCAACCGTGCAAGTAAAGATTATAAACACACAATGAAATTTTGCCTGAATAGATATACGTTTAACAATCAGGCCAAGCTAAGAAAACTGCAAAAATCCGGTCCCAAATCGTACTAGAAATATTTAAATAGTCTTAAAACAAATAACCAGAGCAAAATGCCATCAATTAATGACTTTTACGAATATTTCAAAAATGTAAATTCGACCAATGAACAGTCAAACCTGTTTGAAACCAATGAGACTGATTTACGCAATAATGACAGTATTCTAAATATCCTCTATTATGCAATTTACCGAAAATGAACTTTCTAATTCAATAAAAAAAAGTGCAAAAATGGTAAAGCAGCTAGTAAGTCGGATAATATCTTTAACGAATATATTAAATATACAGAGTACATTATGTTGCCAATGTTTACGTAACTTTTTAACATTTATTCTTGATACCGAAATTATTCCTAATATTTGGTCAGAAGGCTATATTATGCCTATTTTTAAGGGAAATAAATTCTGATTTACCGGAAAACTTTAGGCCAATTACGATCTTGAGCTGTCTTGGAAAATTACATACTTCAATTTACAATACAGGTTGACTATATTTGTAGAAACTCATAACATTATTCATGAAAATCAGGCAGGCTTTAGAAAAAGTCACTAAACTATAGATCATGTATTTAGCTTAATTTCTATATAGAACTAATGCATATGAAAAAAGTAAGATTTTGTTGATTTTTCACGAGCTTTTGACAATGTAAATAGAGCCCAACTTTTTCCAAAATTGATCGATAATTGTATTGATGGCAAATTGGTAAGGATTATTCACAACATGTACAATAACATTAAGTCATGTGTTCAATCAAAGGGGGAAGTTTCCTTCACGTTTTCGTGCGATTGTGGCGTGAAACAAGGGGAAAATCTTTCCCCTCTGTTGTTCTCACCTTTACCCAATGATTAACTTGATTTTCTGAAATCTAAATTTAATGGCGGAATTTCTTTAGAAGGTCAAATTTACAATATTGATAGTTTTGTTAAGTATATAAGTGTTACTTTTTGCATATGACACGGTTCTTATGTCAAAAACCCCGCAAGAATTCAAAAAAATTTAAAATGATTTTAACGATAATTGTCAAAGATGGGAGTTAAAGATAAAAACTAGCAAAACCAAAGTTATTATCTTTGGTACAAGTACACATGGGGTACGCAATATGTCATTTACGCTTAATGGAAATACTCTGCAAATAATCGTAGTTATAAATACTTTAAGAATGCAAGAAATCATTTAATTACACAAGCGAGAAAAGCAATGCACGTTTTGTACAAACAAATTAATAATCTTTATCCGCTTAAAATTGTTATCAAAACACGATTTATGAAATTTTGGAAAAATTTAGCGCAAGATCATCAATATATTAACTGAAATTTTATCTACAAATTTATGTTAAATAGTGATAACACATTCAAATGGCTTGATTATGTTAAAACTACCCTTGATCAAACCGGTCACAGTGAAATATTCTTAAAACGAAATTCTTCGAACTTATGTTAGGTTCATTTGTTAATTAAACAAACACTGATTGATTAATTTATTACCGACTGGTTTAGTAGAATGCAACTATCAAATAAAGGCAAACTCTATAACTTGTTTCAATAGCAGTTTGAGGGCTATTTGACATCATTGCCAAAACACTTATACTTACCTATTCTCAAGTTTAGGACTGCAAATAATAAATTCCCTGTTGAAACTGGCCGTTGGTCTAATATCTCATATGTTAATGGAAAGTGTCCACTATGCCAAAATGACTTCGGTGATGAATTCTATCATTTGATGGTTTGTTATTATTTCATCGAAAAAAGAAAGCAGCTTACTCCAAATTATTTTCACAGTTATCCAAATATCATTAAATATCAAGAACTTCTTGAAAGTAGTAACAGCGAAATCCTAAAAAATCACAGCATATTTATAGCGTACATCATGAACAAATTTACACGTTAGTTTTACTTTTTGAAATAGTATTTTACTCAGACAGGCAATGACATTCCATAGTAACAGTAATGTATGACGTAAATAAGTTTTACACGCTTTCCATGTGTTTCACTTTATCTCCTTTAGAAATAAGACAGTTAAATATCGCTGTCCCCATTCTTAATTAAGGTTAAAAAACATGTTTCTTTTTGTATAAAAAACGTTATATTTTTCGCTTGATTATCTCTCATACTTGACGTAAAACATGCTACTGTTTTCTATTTGATACCAACATATGTATTTATTTACTTGATTTTTGTAATTTCTTTTGTTACAAATGTTACCTTGACGAAATAAAAGAATGTTGTATTGTAAATAATAAACTGTACTTTATTCTAGACATTAATACAAAGAATAACAAAAGTGCTGTTTGAAAAATATTGACAATTGAACTAAACTGTTGCATCAGTTTTATACAACAACAACAACATCAACAACAGAGACTATGTTCTCATTATCTGAAGAAAAATTTTGCTAGTTTCATATTTTTCTTAGTTTTAAAGTACTACATTAAATAGAGAACCATAGTTTTTTAATAACCACAAATAAAACCAATGAGAAATGTTTTTTTTTTTTGTAATATTTTGTTTGGTTTATTGAGACAGGTTCTTGTTATTTTACATCAAATAAGAAGAGAAGGAAAACCTGATATATTTTGTCACATAAAATAGGGGCATCAAACTATAAGTTTATAATAATTATCTTGATACAAATTTAAATATTTGTGAAAAATATAGAAAGTTTACCATGCCGATTTCAAATTATAATTATTTTAAATTGAAACCCTATCAAATTCCACACAGTCCATGGTAACAATTGAACCCACGCCCTTTCGAAACTCCCCTGTGCCCTCGCTGAAAATATATACTATTCAAAATGGAGATTCTGCATTAGGCATCTAATACCTTTACAGCCACATTACGTTTGTTTAACTACAATGTTTAAAGATCCTGTAACACAATTTTTTCATGGTTTTATTTCATAAATATGATGCTCAAATTAAGATTTGTCAATATTGTAAGTTCCAATAAGCATTATTTATAAAGATATTACCCAATTTAACATTTCATGTAAATAAAGGGAGGTAATTAGAAATATATTTTCTATAAATTCTAAGTCAAATTTTCCAATAAGAAATGAATGCCTGTAATTTATTGATTAAATATAATGTGCACAAATATTTGCAGTACACATTTTACATATTCTTCGATGTTTGAAAATTGTTTTATTTGCATAAATATGTACATATATAATTTTTTGCTAGTGTGGTATTCATACAGTAAAAATATCAATCACAAAACATACAGGATCTTTAAAATAAGATAACATTAGCATAAAAACAGACAATTGAAATATTATCTTTAAGATATTTTCTTCAACTTGTATTCAATTTATTATAGAACTTCGAATGAACATGATTTATAATGGTAAAGTGTTTTATTACAAAAGATTGTATTTTATACTGTTCATTAAGTACTCAACGGACAAGAATTTCAGCATATTTTGTCTTTTGAATTCAACGAACAAAAAATTTCAGCGTATTTTGACATTTGTATCATTTTCGTAACACATCTTACAAAGAACCATCGATTTTTTCATTCAATTCTAAATTATATAATATTATATTATTTAGCTATTAAATGTGTTTATAAGAGATGAAAGCAGCGTTTGTTCTTATTGAAACAGTATGTATATCATTATTATTCAAACATGTGTTAACAGATAGTAAAAAAAAATAGAGTGTTATACATTTCCTACTTGAAAACATAGACAGTCTGAATCAAAATGTTGGCCGATTGTAGGTTATCCTCTTAATTAATTTTTACAAAAAAATCAGATAATTATACTGCCTTTGCCCTGAAAACAGTAAAATAAATCCTGTTTAATCCTTGATGTAAAGAGATCTAAACCCTGTCGAAAATAATGCGATGGACACAACAAGTACGTCAAAGGCAATATAGTGGTGAGGTCAACACTAAAATATCAGATGAAGTTTGTTTTGCAGTTGAAAGGTTATTTGTGAAAAGAACATCTGGAATAGTTGATACATTGGTATTGCATGAGATATGATATTCCATGAGTGACAACAACT